ATAATAATATCAAATGATGATTTATTTTTATTTCAAAATATTTTGCATCCATAAAAATGTTGCTAAATATTTTGCATCATTAAATTTTGCATCATTAAATTTTGCGCTTTTTTTATTTGTTTCAATAAAATTTGCATCCTTTATTTTTTTCATTCTTTTCTTCTTTTATCATCTCTTTTGTTTTATTACACTTTATCTTCTTTCTTTTTATATTCTCTCCTTTCTCCTTTTATTCTTTCTTCATCTTATTCTACTTTTTACTTTCTTTTTATTCTTTTATATCATTCATTCTCTTCTTTTTCAATTATTTGCTTTTTTTCGTTGCCAAAAAAAGATATTAATTACAATAAACATAAATAACAAATTTAAACAAAATAGTTTAATGATAGAACTAACTTCTAAATATTAGATTAATTAAATCAAATGTTAATAGGTTTATCTTCATAATTTCTACATTTTAACTCATTATTTATTAAATTGTTGGTTCTTGTTGGTTGTTGGTTGTTGGTTGTTATATTTTATATTTCATTTTATTCTTCTATTTCTTATTTATTTCATCATTATATCTTCTTATAAAATTATGTAATTCCTATTTCATTATTTATCATTACATTAATTCTTTTCTTTCTTGAATTTTAATCTAATTCTTTTTTATTTCTATTCTATTTCTTTATATTTCTATTTATTTCTCTATCTTATTTTAATTCTCTTTCATTGTTCTTTTAATTATCTTGAATATTCATTTAAATGTTTTGGATTAAAATGAAATCTTTCATCATTTCTATTAATTCTTCTATTTCATATTTCTATTTTAATACTATCATTTATATCATTAACATATATTGATGTCTTCATTATTTCTTTATATCTTATTTCTTTATTCTTTTCTTTTATATCTCATTGACAGTATTATTAAAACTGTGTTTAATAAAATTATGAATTTCTCTTTAATTAAATAATCCTGGTTTTGAAAGGCATTAACATTATTGATTGTTCTTGAGAATACAACAAATGAGAAGAAACAGAAGAAATATAACTAATTTGAATGAATAGTTTACAAAAATCTTCATTTAATGGGATAATATTATTTAGATTTAATTTGTTAATTTATCATTGAAATAATTCACTCTTCATTATTTCATTTTCTAGTTCATTTCTTCAACAAGATTGTATCAATTTATTTCATTCATATTTCAGTCACTTTTATTAATATTTATGTTCTTTTGTTGATAATTAATAAACAAATAAAAAGAGAATAAATCAATAAAATATACCTTTAGACAATGAGATATTTGTGGTTGTTTTTATTTATATATATTACTTACATGTTTTCACATTCTATATCATTGAGTTTTTTTCTCTTTTGATATTCTTCTTTTTTTCTTCTTTATTTTTCATTTATCACACATATCTTTTTTCTTTTTTCTCATTTCTTTACTTACTTTTTCTTCATTCTTTCATTTGACTATTTTATTTATTTTTCTCTTTTATTTTATTATTATTCTTTATTTCTTTTTATTTTTTCATCATCATGAATTCTATACTAATAACTGATAAATACAAAATTAAATAATCATATGAATGATATATATTTAATATAATTTGATTGGAATATAAACAAAATGGATAAAATAAAAACAACAAAATAAACTATATGATATAAAATCAACTAATAACCAAATGTATAAATCAAATGATGAAACATAATGGATAAAGAATAAGAGAATGAAATTAAATTAATCAAAATGGGGGTTTATTTATAATCAATTTCTTTAATAATTTCATAATCATTGGTAGTTGATAATTTCGATATTTAATAATAATGATGAATAAGAGATGAAATATAAAGAATAAAAATAAAAAACAAAGTATCAAAACATATGAAAAACAAAATAAATATAAATATGAAATAAAAATAATAATATGAATATGAATATATTAATCATTTCATAATATTTAATATTATATTTAATGTATATCATTCATATTATATTTTACATCACTTATAAACAAGAATAAATAAAAACATACCTCATTAATTATAAATGATATGAATATTCTATTAATTATTTATTAATCATGTTATTTATCATTCTTTTTATTTCATTTTGAAATATTTATTATCAATCATTGTATAGTTATTTAACTTATTAATTTTTGATACATTGTATAATTTAGAAATAATTTATTGATATTTGTAAATCATATAATTTATATACATAGGCATTTATCATCAAAATTATTATTTATAAATAGAATGAAATGAATATTTACATTATTTATAATGTTAGAAATTGTATGAAAAATACCAACAGTCATGAAATTTGAATAAATAAGAAAAGTATTGAAACACAATTTACTTTATTATAATTTTATTAATATTTTCTTGTATCTTATCATGTTTATTATAACAATACTATAACATTTTCTGATATATTGTATTTGGCATAATAAATCACAAATTATGAAACATGAATGTATTTGTATTATCATATTGGTTTATAAGAAAATGTACATGAATTAAACAATATAATAAATACAAACATGAAACATTATTCAAATATAAAGTCATCAACATGATATTGAAACAAAAATAATGTAAAGAGTGAAGAACAATATCACAAAATACAAGAAATATAAGTAATAGATAAAAAGAATAAAATTAGTTCATTATTTGATATGACTATTGCTTCATATCACAATATTAATTGAGACTATTTGAATAAAAGAAATGGTTATAAAGAAATAAAAATAGAATAAAGAAAATAGAGCAAATAAATTATGTCAAAATAATTAGAATAGTAATTTTAATTAACACTTTAATAAATACTTCAAATATTAGATTAAAAACAAGTAATAAATTTATCAACAATTTAATTTTATGATTATTTAAAAATGTTTATTTCATTTTTGCATTATGTTTTATGTTTTATGTTTATTGATTCAATGTTTTCAATCAAATTGTATTAGATTGTTCTTCTTCTAATGTATTTCAAAATTTGTTTGTGTAAAATATTATTTCTTTCATATTTTTGATGATTATTCTTTGTATGATTTTGTGAATGTTTTTTTTTTGTATTTTACCAGTCTTTATTCTTATTTTTCATATTTTGATAATACACCTTATCTTCTACAATAGACTGAATTGTTATTAATTAATTTTTTATTGTAACTTATAATTTCATCATTATTATTTTTATGAAGATTATTAAATTAATTTCAATCATTTTCATTGAATTTTGTATTTATTATTTGTACATAGAAATATTCATGTTGTAGTATTTGATTCTTCTTCATTCATTAATAACAAAATATGCTTAATAGATATTATGATAATATTGATAATATTGTAAATTATCATTATTGATTATTTTAGATTTAATGTTTCATCTCATAATTACTTATTCTTATTTATTATTTGTAAAATTGATTTTCTTTTTATAATTATTTATATCATTGTTGTAATTATTACTTTCTTATTATTGTTTGTTCATGTTCGGTTATATTCTCTTCTTTCAATTCTTCTAAATTTAATTTATTTCATTTTACAATTGTAAATATATTCTTTAATTGTTGTTTCTTTCACGTATTTCTATTTCTTTCATTATTTCATTTAAATTATTCTTCTGACAAATTATTTTCTTCATTCTTTTTATTGTTCATTTTTGTTTTTCTTTTATT